AAAAAAAAAAAAAAAGACATATGGATGGAAAATTAGCTAATAAAAATGTTTAAGACAACAAATCAAACAATCCAATTAAAATGACTAGACCTTTCTCCAAAGATATTATACAAATGGCCAAGAATCATATGAAAAGTTACTCAACATCATTAATTGTGGGGCGCCTGGGTGGCTCAGTCAGTTAAGCATCTGCCTTCGGCTCAGGTCATGATCCCAGGGTCCTGGGATTGAGCCCCGCATCGGGCTCCCTGCTCAGCAGGGAGTCTGCTTCTCTCTCTGCCTCTGCCCTTCCCTCCCACTTATTCTCTCTCCTTCTCAAATAAGTAAATAACATCTTTTTAAAAAATTAAACATAGAATTACCATATGATCCAGAAATCCCACTTATGGGTATTTGCCCAAAGATTTGAAAGCAGGGTTGCAAAGACATCAGCTGTCATTAGGGAGATGCAAATTCAAAAGCACAAGATACCACTGAGAAACTGTCATGGATCAGAGGAGACTAAAGAGACACGGCAGCTAAATGCAGTGTGCAATCGTGAATGGGGTCCTCGAACAGAAAGAGGACATAGTGGAACAGCTGGTGAAATCCAAATAAAGTGTGTGGCTTAAGATTATTGTACCAATGTTAACTTCTTAAGTTTTGGGCACTGTACTATGGTTTTATATATATTAGTCTGCTTGGGCTGCTATAACCAAATACCATAGACGTATGGTGGCATAAACAACAGACATTTATTTCTCACAGTTCTGGAGACTGGGAAGTCCAAGGCCCAGGTGCCAGCTGATTCAGTTCCTAGTGAGAGCTCTTTTCCTGGCTTGCAGATGGCCGCCTTCTTGCCATGTCTTGCGGCCTTCTTGCCATGTCTTCATGTGGTAGAGAGAGAGGCAGGTAGAAAGAGAGAGAGCTCTCTGGTCTTTTCTTCTAAGGGTACTAATCCCATCATGAGGGTCCCATCTCATGACCTCATCTAAACCTAATTACTTCCCAAAGGCTCATCTCCAAATCCCATCACACTGGGGGTTAGAGCTTCAACATAAGAATTCTGGAGAGGACATGTTCAGCCCAAAGCATTATATAAGATGTTAATATTAGGGAACCTGAGTGAAGAGTATACAGGAACTCTCTGGGCTATCTCTGGAACTTTTCTGTATATCTAAAAGGATTCAAAGACTTTAAGGTAAAAAAACCCAAGGTCAGAGGCACCTGGCTGGCTCAGTCAGTAGAGTGTGTGACTCTTGATCTCAGGGTCGTGAGTTCAAGCCCCACGTTGGGCATATAGAGCCCACTTTAAAAAAAAAAAGAACAAATGGGGCGACTGGGTGGCTCAGTCATTAAGCGTCTGCCTTCGGCTCAGGTCATGATCCCAGGGTCCTGGGATCAAGCCCCACATCAGGCTCCCTGCTCCGCGGGAAGCCTGCTTCTCCCTCTCCCACTCCCACTACTTGTGTTCCCTCTCTCGCTCTGTCAAATAAATAAATAAAATCTTAAAAAAAAAAAAAAGAGGGCGCCTGGGTGGCTCAGTTGGTTAAGCAACTGCCTTCGGCTCAGGTCATGATCCTGGAGTCCCAGGATCGAGTCCCGCATCGGGCTCCCTGCTCGGCAGGGAGCCTGCTTCTCCCTCTGACCCTCCCCCCTCTCATGTGCTCTCTGTCTCTCTCATTCTCTCTGTCTCAAATAAATAAATAAAATCTTTAAAAAAAAAAAAAGAACAAACTCAAGGTCAGAAGGTTGAAGGTGAGAGGACTTCAGATCCCCAACCATAGGATCAGGCTGGGTCAGAAAGACGATGGGTAGTGACAGAATGGCAATACTGGGAGAAAACAGGAGGATCGAGGTTCTGTGAAGTGTAGAAGCAGGTTTAGTTCATCATAAGTGATGGTTTTTGTTTTCCTGGAGGAGTATCAGATACTAAAAGCTCAAGTGTAATGGACTGTGCTTTGTTTTAACTGAGTAAAAAAATGGAGTAGTTGGGGACACCTGGGTGGCTGAGTCGGTTGGGCATCTGCCTTCGGCTTAGGTCATGATCCCAGGGTCCTGGGATCGAGTCCCACATCGGGCTCCTTGCTCAGCAGGGAGCCTATTTCTCCCTGTGCCTGCCACTCCCCCTGCTTGTGCTCTCTCTCTGACAAATAAATAAATAAAATCTTTTTAAAAATCTTACAAAAAACAGAGTAGTCAGAGAGGTAAAGCAGCAGCAGAATAAAACATCAAGGAAATTAGAAAGGGAAGCTTTTGCCTTAAGAAAAGGAGGTGGTCCACAGTGATAAGGATTGCAAAATGGTGGAGACAAGCTAGTTTTTTAAAAAGATTTTCAATTTCTCTTATGCGGAAGAATTACACTTCCAAATGTCACTAATTATTAGTGGAAACATTTTATAACATTTTACTATTTTATTACAGTTGACAATCTGCACAAACACACAAAAAAATAGAGTAAGAGTCTCCAAAATTTTAATATGGCTCTTAGTACTAACATTTTTTTTTAAAGATTTCATTTATTCATTTGAGACACACAGATACAGAGAGAGAGAGCATAAGCAGGGAGAGAGGCAGAGGGAGAGGGAGAAGCAGGCTCCCCGCTGAGCAGGGAGCCCGATGTGGGGCTCGATCCCAGGACCGTGGGATCATGACCTGAGCCGAAGGCAGACACTTAACGACTGAGCCACCCAGGCGCCCCTCTTAGTACTAACATTAAAACACCGTATTTGCTGCTAAAATCCTACAAGAAAATAAAGAGAATAGAGAAACCATGGCATATCATTTTAGTAAGTATTTCAATATGAAAGAAGCAAACATTAAGGAGCACATGTTTATTTGGTGCTAATGACATCATGATTTGCAGTCTTTTTTTTTTAAGATTTTATTTATTTATTTGACAGAGAGACAGACAGAAGAGCACAAGCAGAGGGAGTGGCAGAGGGAGAGGGAGAAGCAGGCTCTGCATCGAGCAGGGAGCCTGATGTGGGACTCGATCCCAGGACCCTGGGATCATGACCTGAGCCAAAGGCAGACGCTTAACCATCTGAACCACCCAGGCGCCCCATGATTTGCAGTCTTAAAGACGAAGCAAAATGTGTAATTTGAACCAGATGTTAAAATGGTTTAGGGATAGTATCTAAGGACACATATTTCAGAAAATATGTGGAAACGTGACGACACATCTGCTACAGGGAGTCCTTTATGCAAGTGTCTCGACATCGCATTTTACTTGGCTTCTCAACATGAAATTGCTATCTGTTCTCAATATTAGATTAAAAAAAAAATCCTACAGGAGAAGCAATTCAGCCTAGTTCTATAGTCAGATTTTTGGCTTTATCAGTTCTTGGCTATGGGATCTTGGGAAACTTATGCTCTCGGAGCCTCAGATACTCGTTTGTGAAATGAGAATGAGAACAGTTAGACCTATCTCATGGGACTGTCGTCTTGTTTAGATCTGGATAATACCCCGGTAAAGTGCTTTCCATGGCACGTGACACTTAGTAAGTACCCATTAAAGAGTATTATCCTCATCGGTAAACTACTGCTATTTTTGATTATAAGTACTGATAAAATAACCATCCTTCACATCTAAAAACAAACAGAACAGGTTTAGTGGAAGTAAGAGCATGAGAGCAGCAATGTTAGGAGGCTGTGATCACAGAAGTTTGGATCGCTCTAGAATCTTGGATCTCAGAGGTTGTGGACATGGCAGCCAGGCTGCGGTCATGGGAGTTTGTGGCTAAAGTGGCATGAAGGTAAAGGTCACTGTTTGGAGGGGAGGTCAAGGAATTGTGAGGAGATTATGGTTGGCCATCCACATGCTGCTGAAGTACCTTTCAGAACAAGGACAGGAAATGAGGTGGGGAGAGGACGACTCCGTTGCAAAGACCTCACTGGATGCAGGTGAATAACTTGGGAAGATGGTAACACAGCCACACCCGTGCTTTCCCAGGACCCCGGCCACCCCTCTTTCTCCCAGTTCTTGCTAGCTCACATCTACCCCCCTACTCCAAGCTACTTTGCCTTCCAAATAAGAAAGGCAGGAAAAAAGCAAAGAAAAATGCCCTATTATTTCCCAACAGCACCTCACATACCTGTCTTGGGCGACTGCTCAGTGCAACCCACTGTAGAGAGTACAAGGAGGTTCAAGGCCCCTTCTGGCCCTGGCAGCTTGTAATACAGGTGAAGAGATCACAACAGGCATGTGACACTCCATACTGCTACCACTGAGACAGCGTGACATGAAATATGTTTTTTATTTTTAAAGATTTTACTTATTTGAGAGAGAGACAGCGTGAGAGAAAATGAGAGAGAGCATGAGTCGGGGAGGGGGAGATGGAGAGGGAGAGGCAGACTCCCCGCTGAGCAGGGAGCCCGACGTGGGGCTCGATCCTCAGGATCATGACTGAGCCGAAGGCAGATGCTTAACTGACTGAGCCACTCTGGCACCCCTTAATATTTAAATAGACAACACTCCTCTACAAATAGCAAATGTGAAATACAAGCTAGCCAACAGATACTTTTGTTTTGTCTCAGTATCATTTCTTATTCTAGGTCTCCCTCCCATACCCACATAGGGAAGCAGTACTCTTCGTAGCTGCCTAATGGACGCTAGTTACCTTGGGTTGCTTAATGCGAGCCCGTTTTCCTTTAGATCTGGGCTACCCTACCCACCCCCCCTTACTCTAATCTGGCTGTTCCTTCTTTAAGTACAAAGTCCGATAAGGACTCACCTATAACTTTACCATTTGAAGTAAAGGAAGCAAGACTATACTTTCAGGGATCATTTCTGTAGTTTGTTACCAGGGAAGTTTCTCTGAACGTGAAGTTAAAGGAAGCTTTATGTAGATTCTGGCTTTTCATGGATTCTTTTTCTGACAGTAGAGAGATTCAAACCCTAGCCAATTCCTGCCCATCTAAGAATAGAGTCACTTAAAAGAATCAGAGTTGCTGTAACTTTAAATATAATCCATGCCACTTTTTCTATGACACATCATACTACTTTTTTCAAAAATCTATAAACATTTTATTAACTTTGAAGAGGGAAGAAGAACAGCTACTTTAGAAACGAGAGACACTCGAGCACTGATGTGTTCATAGAGTTTCCACACAGCTGAAGAAGTTTACATCAAATGGACAAAAAATAGTACAGAAGACCTATATACAGAAAGATTTAGAAAGCCCATCTCTAGAAAGCAGGTCAGATGGACTCAAAGACCTCACCAAAAGTAGGAGGAATCGATGGGAAGCAATGGAAAGCCTTCTGCTGGGGCAAAAACGTGGCCACCTGCCCATGGAGTCAAGAAACGGTTCTTTTTCCTCCTCCTCTAAACGCCTGCCTCCGGTCTGGGTTGAGAGAAGGGTCCTGATCACTTGAACTGGTTGTCAATCAAGGTCCCCTTCATCTTTGCTTTCTTGGCTTCCAGTTCAGCCTGGAAAGGAAGAAAAGTATATGCCCTGAGACGTGCCATAGAAATTCTGACTTTCCTTCCTTCTTCTTACTGCCCAAACACTATCCTTTGGTGTTCATTTAGTACAGAAACTAGAATAGTGGTTGGCAGGTCGTTATGAATCTCTGGCAACCGCTTTCCACCCCTTCTGATATTACGGTACAGACAACGATGGTGTCTGTGTGGTAAAAGGCTGCAGTCGAAGGTGATCAGCGCAGGGCTCCTCCAGCCCCAGGCCCCCCAAAGGGCCAAGGGAATGGATACTGTGGTATACCACTGTCCTATACCTGGCAGAATAGGAAGAGAAACACTGTTCTAGAATGGTGTTACTTCAGGTCGTGCGGTCCACGAACTGTTGGTTGCTGGTTCGTGCAAGATACACGTAAAACCGAGTTAGCATTCAGAAACTTACACAATCATTTGCCAGAGTAATAACAAAATAAAATAATTTAACAAGAGCACTCGAGGCAAATGCATTTCTGTGGCATTTTATAAATTACAAATCTGTTCTTGACAAATAAGAGACTTAAAAAAAGAAGCAAGCCCCGGTGTTTCCCCTGGGCAAATGTGACAGGCACGGCTCTCGACCACGAAGGCAAGGCAATGCCGCTCCCAAGACCCACCACCTTTGTCAGCAAAGAAGCCTCTCTGGTCATCAGAAGGGCCGGCACAGCCCCTGATGGGGCAGCAACGCAGTGACGTCCGATGGTAAAGAGCTAGCGGAAGCGCATCAGGACCCAGAAGACCCAGCTTGCAGGCGCCATCAGACGGGAAGGGTGCGCGCGCCACGAGGAGCCCGTGACCGACACAGAAAGTGGGGGCAGCCCCCGTCCCGGTGCTGCCGATGTAGGCCCTGCTGCCCGCCCTCGCACCCCGGGAGCGCATCCACAGACCCCGACCTTCACCTCCTGACCTCGGGCCCCAGGTAGCAGGTGCAAGTACCGTTCTGGTCAGGGCGAGCCGACAAGCCCTCTAACTTCGGGCCTGGAGCCCTTGGTCACTGGACAGGGTATGCCGACCGTTACAGGCCAGGGTTAGACAGCTGGCCGCCAGCTACACCAGGGCCCCCCCGGACTTCCTGCAGGAGTTCCCTGAGCGAGGCTCTCTCAGACCGAGAAATGCCTGCCGCCCTGGGCCCACTCACCAGCTCCTGCAGCCGCCTTTTGCTCATGCCCTTGCGCTCCAGCTGCTTTTCGATCACTTTGGCGTTCTGCGCGTACGAGTCGGCGACTTCTCTCTGGGGGAAGAAAAGCAGCACCCGTAAGCCGGCAGTACCAGAGTCAGAGACCGCAGGTGGCAATTCATGCTACTCACATCTCACAATTATTCCGGAAATGGACTCTGTTCCCTTTAAACTCATCAGCTGTTCAATAATCCAGGAGAGCTCAGGTTTCGGCCGAAACCATTTGAAAAATAACCAATGGCATCTCCCTGTAAACCTCATTATACTGAAGGACCATAAAGGTTAGGAGAGCCTCATAGACCACTCGAGCCGGACTGGACGGGACCCGAAACTGTGGAGTCCAATAGGCTTTACACTCAAGAGGGATGAGGGATTTGCCCCATGAAAGTATCTCAAAACACATTAGGAAAACGCCACCGATCCAGTCCAACTCCCCGGTTCTCATTTTACGGATGTCCTCGGGATCCAGGGAGACAGGAACCGGCCCAGGCTCCTCTAGTTTCTTACTAGCAGACTAACGCCTGGGAGCAACATTTCTTTCTTTCTTTTTTTTTTTAAAGATTTTATTTATTCATTTGACAGAGACACAGCGGGAGAGGGAACACAAGCAGGGGGAGTGGGAGAGGGAGAAGCAGACTCCCCACTGAGCAGGGAGCCCGATGCGGGATTGATCCCAGAACCCTGGGATCGTGACCTGAGCCGAAGGCAGACGCTTAACGACTGAGCCACCCAGGCGCCCCTGGGAGCAACATTTCTAATTACTCCACTACTCGCTACTCAAATGGGCTGGTTTTAGAGTCCCCGTTCCTTCCGGGCCCACCCCCCAATCCAGTTCCCTTGAGAGCAGAAGCACTCACAGCCTCGATCTCCTCTTCCTCCTCATCAATGGTCGACACCGTGACGGAGCTGAACTTGCCCATGTCTTTCGTCCGTTTGGTCATCATGACCTGGAGTCACAGGAGGAGGAATCAGTCTTGTTCACTGCAAGAGGCTCTGTGAGCTGCGCGCGCGCTCCTGCGTGTATCCACCCGCGGGCGCGCACACATGACTGGTTGCAGGGGGAGGCGGTTGGGGGGGAGCACACACCTCTTTGGGACAGGCTGACCTATCTAAAAGTGCCAATGGGGTGGTTTTTTGTTTTTTTTTTTTCTATTTGGATTCTATTTTTCTAACATTTGCCGTCAAGGCTTTTAAAAGTATATTCAAAAATGAGCCTCCTTCCTTTCGTTTTAACGGTCCACACTGAAAAAAGAAGACATTTCAAAGGAAATCAATGTGAATCAAAACCATACAATTTCTAGCTTTACTCCTGGGACAGCCGTAGGAAAGAAAAAAGAACACATACTGGATGTTACATGTAACATCGGCTTACCCATAAAGATGGCGTCCTCTTAATAAAGAATGCATCCATAAAGGGCACTTTCCCATTATAATCTTATTTAAAGATGGAGGGTGATCCGTAGATTCGTAGCTATATAAACCAGTCAGTCTCCTTCAATAATTACCTTCTTAGGAGGCTCTTGTTTCTGAGTATAGATGTTCGTTTTGCCAAAGCCCTGGCCGAACTTGACCACTGCTCCGTCCACAATGAAGGTCACGGGGGCATTCTTAGGCTGGGACTGATAGAAGAGTGGCAGGCCACACCTGCAAAGAGCAGAGCCAATCTCTGGGAAGCTCACAAGCCAAATCCCCGAAACACTGACTCCCAAAGCGCGCTCAGACGCTGGGGAACAGTTTTGTTTGTGGCGTAAACTAAGGATTCACTCCTTCCAGTGTTTCCCAAAACAACTTCGTAAGAATCACTGAGGAATCACTTTAAACAAGTAAGAATTTGTTACAACTGCTGCTTGGATTCCCAGGTCCCTCCTTCTGAAGATCGTGATTCAGCAAATTGGGGAGCTGAGGCCTGGGAACCTGTCACTTTCCTCAGCATCCCAAGTGATTCTTATCATTGGAGAAGTTTGGGAAAGGCTGGTCCCTGCCGCTGTTTGCTTTCCAGTTAAAGCTGCTGCCATTCTGGGGCACCTGGCTGGCTCGGTTGGGAGAGCATGCGACTCCGGGTCACGGGGTTGTGAGTTCAAGTGCCATGTTGGGTGGAAAGCTTACTTAATAAATAAAAATTTAAAAATAATAAAAGTTTCCTAAAAATACGTATTTTTAAAAAAACTGCTGGGGTGCCTCGGTGATGCATCCAATTCTTGGTTTCAGCTCAGGTCAGGATCTCAGGGTCGTGGGACTGGGCCCCGCGTCAGGCTCTGCACTCAGCATGGAGTCTGCTGGGGTTCCCCTCTCCTTCTCACATAAATAGATATATCTTTAGGGGGGGAAAAAACTGCTGCCATTCTTCCAAGAGGTCTGGGTACCTAGCGTGGGGTTTTGTCCGGTTTTGTTTGAGTTTTTGCGGTGTCGAGAGGGAGTATGAAGGCTCCACTGCAGTGGTTAGCAAACTACCCTGTGGAGTAATCGTCGTACTTTCTTTGGTCGGGCAGTTTTACTGTACTTTTTCAGCTACATGAAGTAGACTCATAAGACATGATAAAATGGGGGGCACCTGGCTGGCTCAGTCGGTGGAGTGTGTGACTCCTGATCCTGGGGTTGTGACTCTGAGCCCCACGCTGGGTGCAGACATCACTTAAAAACCAAATCTTAAAAAAAAAAAAAAAAAAGACATGAAACGAAGTTAACAACTCTAATGTGGCTGGGAACTAAAATGCCTTCTCAGGCATTTCCGTGCCTTGATTCTTCCGTCATGAGTCTTCTGAGAGCCGAGATGTAACTGTCGTGCCATCAACAAGATGAACCTTACTGTAGTTTAGTATTCTCACTATTAACGGCCTAAAGCTGGACATGTATACATAGCTTTAAAGAACAGTTTCTAAAGTTCTTGGGTCTGGGGGCCTACAACAGGCTTTATAAATAAGTCTGGATAACATTATGCTATGTTCCATTTACCATATGACCCAGCAATTCCACTCCAAGAGAAAACGCATGTCCCCACCAAGATTTATACTAGAATGTTCATAAGAGCTTTATTCAGAATAGTCAAAACCCTTAGCAACTCAAATGCCCTTCTGCAGGTGAAGAGCAAAACTGGTGCTATGGATACTACTCAGCCACAAAGAGGAACAAACTAGTGATAAATGTGACACCTTGGCTGAAACCCAGAAGCACTGTGCTGAGTGAAAGAAAGCAAACGTAAAAGATACATACTGTACGTAGCAGAACACATGTTGTAGAATTTAGATAACACTTTTAGGAAAGGCAATAACATTTTTAGAAAAGACAAAACCGTAGCTACAGAAGGCAGATCAGTGGCTGCGGTGGGCGGGGGGGGGAGGGCGGTGGAGGGTGAAGAAGGGGACTGACAGCAAAGGGCACACGGGGAACCGGGGAATGGCCTGCATCGTGGCAGGGGTGGTGTTAGAGGACCGCATGCTTCTGTCGGGACTTCTCAAATTGTATGCTTAACACAGGCAAATATGGGGGGCACCTGGCTGGCTCCGTCAGTAGAGCATGTGACAGTCTTGGGGTTGCGAGTTCAAGCCCGACAGTGGGCACAGGGATTACTTAAGGAAAAAAAGGGCAAATTTTGTCATATATAAATTACATGTCTATTGAAAAAATGATACGATGTTAAAAAAAAAAAAACATTTCTGTGACCACCTGGTCAGAGATGTGACTTTGACTAGTCTATCCGAGGAGCATATTGGTATTTGTGTAGCTGAAGTTCGAAGGCAGCTGGGATTGTAAGGATAAAGATACAACAGAGAATTGTACCCGCCTAATTCTTTTCCAAACACGTTATTGCCTCTCCTTTCTTCTGCTTGGAGAAAGCCGCGCTGTTAAATACCTACTTGGCACACTTCTTCCTGTACTGCCGTTCAATGCCTTCAGGTCTGTGCAGAAACGGAATTAGAAAAAAAAAAGAGATGAACAAATCTCATAACCTACCCGCCTTACTACCTCATTTCTTCAAATGCTAAAAAAGGGCCTTTCGAAAGTTTTCATTTCCTAGATGAACCGGCTAGTTGAACGTGTATTAATCTTAAGACATCCCCGCCTCCCACACGTTTCCTGAGCCCCGAGGACAGGTCAGGCGTCCCCCTGACCCGGGGGGGAGGGGCAGAAGCCATAGTCATAGCAACGGCCAGGGTCACGGGTAACAACAACAAGAGCAGCGCTAATACTAGCAACCACGTGTACACCGTGCTCAAGATCACCCGGAGTAAGTCACTTGCGCCTTAGAGCGACGCTGTGAGGTCGTTCCTATTACCATTCCCATTTGACAGATGAAGGCCCCCGAGCACAAACCAAGCACATGATTTGCCCCAGGTCAGAGTCCGGAAGCAGAATAGGCTGAATTCAAGCCGAGGCCGCCACGCTCAAGAGCCCACAAGACTGCCTTAGGTAAGCAACTCTGCCACCCACCCAGATGCTTAACGGAAACCTGGGGACTCATCCTTGATTCTTCTCTTTCCCTTATTTCCCACACCTACTCCATCAGCAAATCCTACGGATTTATCATCTCCAAAAAAAGATCCTGAGCCTGTCTGCTCTGCTCTACCTTCCGGCCACCATCTTAGCCCAGGCCACCAGTATCTCTTCCTTGGCCAACTGTCATAGCTTCTGGACTGGTCTCCTCACTTCCCCTCCCCTTGTTTGTTTCCATTTTTAATAAGCAATATGCATACATGGTATACATATGAGTACAAAGAAAAGCAAATATCCTCCCCACCCACCCTTCACCCACCCAGTTCTCTTCCCTGGGGGGCAAATATTGTTTCTGGTTTCTTCTGTTCCTCCCAGAGATAACTGATGATATAAGCAAAGAATTCTTATTGATATATAAATAAAATATATTTTATTTCTTTTCCTTTTTAGACAAATGCAGCATACCTTACACTGTTCTCTACTTCTTTTTTTTTTTTTTAAAGATCTTATTTATTTGACAGAGAGAGACACAGTGAGAGAGGGAACACAAGCAGGGGGAGCACGAGAGGGAGAAACAGGCTTCCCGCGGAGCAGGGAGCCCGATGAGGGGCTCAACCCCAGGACCATGACCTGAGCTGAAGGCAGACGCTTAACAACTGAGCCAGCCAGGCGCCCCTCTTTGTTTGCTTAAAAATGTGTCCTGGTTAGAAAATATATATGTGACCCTTCCTTACCAATTGACAAAGAGGTGTCCCATGCTTCATAAAGGCTGCATTGTATTCCTTTGTGTGGATGAACCGAAATGTCTTTTACCTGTTGGATAAATTCCTAGAAGTGTATCCACTTTATTTTTTTTTTTAAGATTTTATTTATTTATTTGATGGAGAGAGAGACAGCGAGAGAGGGAACACAAGCAGGGGGAGCGGAAGAGAGAGAAGCAGGCCTCCAGCCGAGCAGGGAGCCCGACGTGGGACTCGATCCCAGGACCCTGGGATCATGACCTGAGCCGAAAGCAGACACTCAACTGACTGAGCCACCCAGGCGCCCCGCGTATCCACTTTAAATTCTGTTAAATACTGCCAAATTACTCTCTAGGGAAGTTGAACCAATTTATGTTCCCACCACCAAAGTGAGAGTTCCTGTTTCTCTCCAGTCTCACCAACACCGAATGTTATTAAATTGCACGACTGCCAATCTGGCACGTGAAAACTGTGCTCTCACAATTTGCATTTCCTTTTTTAAAGAGTGAAGTCAGGCATCTTTTCCATATTTTATAGGCATTTGTGTTTTCTCTTTTTGGGTGAACTGCCGGTTCATATCTTTTGCCTGTTGAGTTGTCTTTTTATTGTCTATTAAGGAGACTTGCAAATGTTGACAGGCCTCATAAATATTTCTTCCCCAGTTTGACATCTGTCTTTGACTGCCCCCCCCCCGGCAATGTGGAAATTTTAGATTTTTGTGCAGTCAAATCAACAGCATGTGTGCATGCGTGCGCACACGTGTGGTATTCAGTTAGGCCTTCTCCATTCTAAATCCATACCTAACATACAAACTTTAACTGCTATTCTAGAATCTGCTTCCACTACTGTTTCGCTCCAAATCATTCTTTAAACAGAGGCAAGAGTGGCTTCCTAAGACACCTAGAATAAAATCCAGCCTCCTTACCATGTAGGCCTCCCAGGCACAAGCTGAGCACAAAATTGGGCCCCCGTCTCTCTCACAGATGCCCTCCCTCACTATGAACTAGCCACACCAGGCTTCTGTTCTTTGAACAAACAAGCGCTTTCCCACCTCAGACCTTTCACACACACGCTTCTCTCTCCCTGGAATGCTCTTTTCACTGCTTTCCCCTTCTCATTTTCGGGGTCTCAGCCACCTTTTCAAAGAGGTTTTCATGACCCACCTCAGACCTTTCACACACACGCTTCTCTCTCCCTGGAATGCTCTTCTCACTGCTTTCCCCTTCTCATTTTCGGGGTCTCAGCCACCTTTTCAAAGAGGTTTTCATGAGATTCTTTGTATGAGCCCTTTGTTTCATTCACAGGACTTCCCCTAATCATAATGACTTTATTTTTCTGTCATCCCACTAGACTGTAAGGTCCATGAGATCAGAGATTAACGGAGACCATGCCTGTCTGACCACTCTATCCCCAGAGCCGAGCAAAGTACTGGAAACAAAATAGACATGCAATAAACACTGGTTGAAAGAATTCTTTTAAGAATTCGGTTTAGTGAGGAAAATTACCATCATGGAGGTAAGTTCTTACATGGAGAAATGCGTACTGGGAACGCAGAGGTGGGAGCACCAAGTCTGTCCGAGGCAGTCATGGAAAGCTTCACAAGCAGGTGATTGAAAGCCAACAGTCCTGATAGAAAGTGGTATTTCAAGCAGTGGGAATACTATGTGCAGAGCCAAAACAGCACAGCACATTCAGGGAATTACACAGTCTAATGTTAGTAGGACTTTAAAAAAAATCAAGAGTACTACTGGTCTGACAGAAAAAGATCTGTAAGATTATACTATGAATGACCATATGGCAACAAATTAGATAATTGAGATGAAATGGGCAAACTCCTAGAATAGAACAGAAACTGCCAAAACTCACTGGAAAAGAAACAGAAAATCTGAATAGACTATTCCATGTAAAGAGATTTAATTAGTAATCACAAAACTCCGCACAAAGAAAAGCCCAGGACGAGTGGCTTCACTGGTGAATTATACTAAAAGTTCAAAGAAGAATTAATACCAACGCTTCACAAACTTTGCAAAAGAGGAAACACTTCCCAGCTCATTGTATGGAGCCAGTATTACCCTGATACCAAAACCAGACAGAGGCACAACGACAACAAACTAGAGATCAGTATTGCTTAAGAATACACAGGCAAAACGCCTCAAAAAACAAAAAATACTAACGATCTGAATCCAGCAGCATTTAAAAAAGATCATACATGACCAAGTGGAATTTATCCCAGGAATGCAAGATTGGTGCAACACATAAACAATACCCAAAGCAAGACACCACAGTAATAGAAAAGAGAAAAAAAAAACACACGATCATCTCAACATCTCAATAGACACAAAAGAAAAGCATTTGACAAAATTCAAAACCCTTTTAATATTCCAGGAATAGAAGGGAACTTTCTCCACCTGATAAAGGGCATCTATGAAAAACCCACAGGCACTAACAGTTACATAAACTAATATCATACTTAATGGTGAAAGACTGAAAGCTTTTTTCCTAGGATCAGGAACAAGACAAGGATACTCACCCTCAACCCTTCTATTCAACATTGTACGAGGAGTTCTAGGAAACACAAGTAGGCAAGAAAAAGAAGTAAAAGGCACCCAGATTGGAAGGGAAAAAGTAAAACCATCTCTATTTGTAGATGACATGATCTTACATATAGAAACCCTAAAGAACCCACAAACATATACACAATTAGAGCTAATAAGTTTAGCAAGGTTGCAGGTTACATGATCAATATATAAAAATTAATGGTAGTCCGATATACTAAAAATGAACAATAAAGGGGCGCCTGGGTGGCTCAGTCTTTAAGCATCTGCCTTCGGCTCAGGTCATGATCCCAGGGTCCTGGGATCGAGCCCCACATCGGGCTCCCTGCGCCGCGGGAAGCCTGCTTCTCCCTCTCCCACTCCCCTCCTTCCTTGTGTTTCCTCTCTCACTGTCTCTCTCTCTGTCAAATAAATAAATAAAATCTTTAAAAAAAAAAAAAACAATAAAAAATAAAGTTAAGAAAATTCCAGTTACAATAGCATCAAAAATAATAAAATACTTAGGAAAAAGTTAACAAAATAAGTGCAAGACTTGTGCAATGAAAACTATAAAACATTACCGAAAGAAATTAAAGAACACCTAAGTAAATGGAACGACATCCCATGCTCGTGGACTGAAGACTTAACATTATTAAGATGGTAATACTCCTTAAATGAATCTACAGCTTCAACACAATCCCTATCAAAATCCAAGCTGGCTTTTTGCAGAAATTGACAAGCTGATACTAAAATTCACATGGAATTGCAAGGAATCTAGAATAGCCAAAACAATCTTGAAAAAGAACAAAGTTGGAGGACTCACATTTGCTGATTTCAAAAACCACAAAAGCTACAGTAATCAAGACAGGGTGGTACTGGCATAAAGATAGACAGATCAATGGAATGAAACTGAGAGTCCCAATAAACCCACACATACACGGTTAATTGATTTTTGACAAGTGTACCAGACCATTCAAAGGAGAAAGAACAGACTTTCAATAAATGGTACTGGATACCCACATGTACAAGGATAAATTTATTAGATCCTTACCTCACACCATCTAAAAAAATTAACTCAAAAAATTTTAACTCAAAATGGATGAAAGGCTTAAACCTAAGAACTAAAACTATAAAACTCTTAGAAGAAAATGTAGACATAAATCTTCAAGACCCTGAATTAGGCAATGGTTTCTTAGATAAGACTCCTACAGCACAAGCAAAGATAAAAATAACTGGACTTGATTAAATTAAAAACTTTTATGCTTCTAAGAATACCATCAAGAGAGTGAAAAGGCAATCCACAGAATGGGAGAAAACATTTGCAAATCATATATCTGGTTAGGGGCTTAGTATCCATAATATATGAATTCCTATGACTCAGCAATTAAAAGACAAATACACCAATTAAAAAATGGGCAAAGAATTTGAATAGACATTTCTCCAAAGAAGACATGCAAATAGCCAAAAGGTACATGAGAAGATGCTCAACATCATTAGCCAGCAGGGAAATGCAAATCAAAACCACAATGAGATACTATTTCATACATACTAGGATAGCTATAATCAAAGAGACAGACAATAACAAATATTGGTGAGATATTGGAACTCTCATACATTACTGATGAGAATGCAACCGCTTTTGAAAATACAGTAACAGTTCGTCAAAAGGTTAAACATAGAATTACCATATGACCCAGCAATTCATTAGTATACACCCATGAGAACCAAAAACACATTCACACAAAATCTTGTACACACGTTCACACATTTACAACATTACCCGTAATAGTAAAAAAAAAAAAAAAAAAAAGGAAAGAGCCCAAATGCCCATCAACTGATGAACAGATAAACAACATGTGGTATGTCCATACAATGGAATGTCATTCAGCCACAAAAAAGAATAAAGTACTGAGTCATTCTACATCAAGGATGAACCTTGAAAACATGCTAAATGAAAGATAGTAGACACAAAAAGCTATAATATTTATGGTTCCTTTTTAATGAGGTATCTAGAATAGGCAAATCCATAGGGACAGAAAGTAGATTAATGGTTGCCAGGGGCTGGGGGAGAAGGAAATGAGGAGTGACTATTATTAGGTACAAGGTTAGTTTTGGGGGGTGATGAAATGCTCTGGAATTGGTGATGATAGTTGCACAACCTTGTGAATATACTAAAACCACTGAATTGTACACTGTAAAATGGTGAGTTTTATGATATATGACTTACCCCTCAATTCAAAATACTAAATCTCTGAGGGTGGAGCTGAGGCATTAGGGCTTTTCTTTTTTTAAGTGTTTTTTTTTTTTTTAAGATTTTATTTATTCATTTGACAGAGAGAGAGATAGCAAGAGCAGGAACACAAGCGGGGGAGTGGGAGAGAGAGAAGCAGGCCTCCCGCGGAGCAGGGAGCCCAATGCGGGGCTCGATCCCAGAACCCTGGGATCATGACCTGAGCCGAAGGCAGATGCTTAACAACTTAGCCACTCAGGTGCCCCGATAAATGTTATTAAAAAAAAAAAAAAAATCAAGGGGCACCTGGCTGGCTCAGTTGGTAGAGCATGCGACTCTTGATCTCAGGGTCGTAAGTTCAAGCCCCATAATGGGCGCAGAGCTTACTTAAAAAAAGAAAAAGAAAAAAAAAAAATCAAGGAGTACCAGGAGACAAGGATCACAGAGAGCCTTCAGGCTTCGATTTTACCCTGCTAACCATGATTTCTAAAATTGTACTCAACCATGACCCCTAAATGAAACTAGATAGGGGGAGGGGAGGAGTCCTTAATGGGTTGGGCTCGACTCTTCCCCAGTCACAGCAGCTTCCTGCTTATTTATACTTCTGGACAAGCACTTCATTTGAAGAAAGGATTCATTGTCTAAAAATGTTTGAAAAGCACTGCTATAGGTGACGAAGAGTCACTGAAAGATTTGAAGCAGGAGACTTATGTAATGTGCATCTGAGATCACTCAGACAGTAGACAACAGACTGGAGGAGAACAAAGTGAAAGGCCAAGAGACCAGGTAAGAGGCTGCTTCAACAGCCCAAGCAAGCGATGGTAGGTACTGGAAAGATGGCACTGCAGCAGGGCTAAACAGGAGGCAACTGCGAGAGAGACTGGAAGGCAGAGTCAACAGGACATGGTGAGCGACTCGACTGGTGTATACAGGGGATGGTGGGGTTGGGGACGGATGAGACAAAGGGAGGACTGGCTCGCAGATTCCGGCTTGGGCCACTGCATGAATGGGGGTGTCATTGCAAGAGGAGGAGGAGGAGGAAGGAACTGTATTTGGCTGATAGTTAGAGACCTGTCTGCAGTGGCTTCAACACCATGGTTTGTTCTCCTGTAAAAGACATCCGGAAGAGGGGCGCCTGGGTGGCTCAGTCGGTTAAGCGTCCGACTCTTGATTTCGGCTCAGGTCATGATCTCAGGGTCGTGAGATCCAGCCCCACATTGGGCTCCATGCTGGGCATGGAGCCTGCTTGGGACTCTCTCTCTCCCTCTACCCCTGCCCCCCACTGTCTCTCCCCCTCTTAAAAAAAAAAAAAAAAAACGTGGTTCATGGCCATGACCGGGACCCAAGGACAGTGATGGCGAAAGCTCTGTAATTTTTGTGGCCTTTCCTTCCCGGTCCCAGGATGGCTGCCAGTCCTCCAATCATCACGTCCGTTTTCCCAAAAAGCAGGAAGGAGTAAGACTAGAAGAGTAAAAAGGCCTTCCCTTGGAAGCCTCATCCAAAAACTTCTATCCCTTTTACTTGGCAAAAGTGAAGTCACATTCAGAATCTTACGGGTCTTGGGGGGGGCGGGCACTGGACTATACACCCTAACTTTGCAGATGCCAGTATACAGGCAGGTATAAAAGAGGAGTGTCTGGTGGTGCTGGGTCAGCCCATCTGCAGTATTTCCTTACTAGAGAAATGAGGAGTTTGGCCTTGGTCATGTTGGATCTGAGACAGAACATCAAGTGAAGAGGTAGAGTAGGCAGTTAGATATACAGTTCTGGGTACAGGAGAGAAATGTAGGCAGATCTAGATTTTGTGAGTCACCAGCACGTAAGTGTAACTGATGCCATGAAAAGTTGTGAGAACGTCCAAGGAGAGTATAAAGAGAGAGGGAGTAAGATCCAGGTCAGAACCCAGGGGAATACCAACATTTAAGGGGCAGGCGGCAGAAGAATCCAGAAGACTGAGAAAGCCAAAGAAGTACGAGAATCTCCAGAGCAGCTTCACAGAACTCAAGGAAGGAGAGCATCAAGGGAGGCAGGGTCAACAGACAGACAGAAAAGCACTGGATTTGCAACAGTGGGACTGCTGGATGGGAAAGGGGGCCCGGGGAACAACAGTGTCAAAAGAGAGGCACTTTAGAATGGAAGGCTTGGAGGGGGACCGTGATGGGCTCCAGGGCATATGTACTCTTTTTTTTTTTTTTTTAAAGATTTCGTTTATTTGGCAGAGAGAGAGGGAACACAAGCAGGGGGAGCGGGAGAGGGAGAAGCAGGCTTCCCGTGGAGCAGAGAGCCCGATGCGGGGCTCGATCCCAGGACCCTGAGATCATGACCTGAGCCGAAGGCAGACGCTTAACGACTGAGCCACCCAGGCGCCCCCCCCCCCCTTTTTTTAAAGTAGGCTCCATGCATGTAGCCCAACACAGGGCTCAAACTCACGGCCCTGAGACCAAGACCCGAGCTGAGATCAAGAGCCAGACACTCAACCGACTGAGCCCCCCCCACAGGCCCCTGGGATCCTGGGCATATGGTGTGCAGACTGCACGTGTTCCGCAACTGGTGCTCTCACACACAGCTGGCTAAGGAGGGAGAATGGGCCGAAATGCCCCCAGGGAAGCACGCCAGAGTGGGCCACTGGACAGACTGCTCATGATTAGTGCAGGAATGACGTCAACTGGGGGGAGGGGTGGGAAGGGAAGTTTACCCTGCCTTGTTGGTAAACTCTTGAGAACTCTCTGGCCCAACAGAGTCACTTGGCCAGAGGCCAAGAGCCTGGGTAATACCTGGCCCTAAGGCTAGGTCCCAAAGCTGGCTCGCTTCCAGGAACAGGCTGGTTCGATGCCGGGGTTTCCACTTCAGACTAAAGCCACTCCGTTTTCTGGCCTCTGGGTGAGGGCATCTGCCTTTTAGTGCCATGGGGGCCTGTGGCCTGCTGAGTTCTTAGATCGGTTTCAATATATAGTAATACTATTATAATTACTGTATGTAACTATGATATATATATAATAAACACATCATAAATATCTTAGTGATCTTAAAGAGAGCGAGAGCGAGTGAGCTCAAGCAGGGGGAACGGCAGAGGGAAAGGGAGAAGCAGACTCCCCCGCTGAGCAGGGATCCCGATGTGAGGCTCGATCCCAGGACCCCAGGATCATGATCTGAGCTGAAGGCAGACACTTAACAGACTAAGCCACCAAGGCACAGTTGGCAATTTTCAAAATGAGAAAACTAAATAAGGGTTAATGGAGGGAGAAAAAGCATAAGACAACGGGTTAGCTTTAGATAGGGCATCTTACTTGTCAACCTTCCTATTTACCATAATGGAGTATTTTCCCCATGTTTCCCAAAGGGCATTCCTTTGTAGATTTCATCAATTTTATAATCTGGTTGTATTATTGGCCTCGAGTTGTATCTGGTATATAACCAATTTCCTCTTCAGCTGCACAGTTCTAGAAGCCCAGTTGTCACAATGGTGCTCGAGGCCTGATTTGCTATTGAATGGCACCTAGCGGTACTTCCTTTCATTACTGTGGGCTGACAACAGTTTGGTTTCTTAAATTAACATAGCAAGATGTCAGCCTGTCACTTTTCCCATCTCAACACTAGAATACAAGCTCCATACAGGCAGGGTTCTTTGCTTGTTGACTGGTTGTACGGGGTTGGATGGTATCCCTTAAAAAGTCATGTCCTTCCAGGAACCTCAGAATGTGACCTTATTTGGAAAGAGGGTCCTTGCAGATATAATTAGTTACAATGAGGTCATGTAGATGAGTAGAATGTGCCCTTAATCCAATGTGACTGGTGTCCCTATAAAAAGAAGAGAAGAAAAACAAGAGACCGAGACACAGGGAGAAGGCCATGTGTTGATACAAAGACTTAAGTGTTGCATCTACAAGCCAAGAAATGCCAAGGATTGCACGCCTGGGTGGCTCAGTTGGCTAAGCGTCTGCCTTCGGCTCAGGTCATGGTCCCAGGATCCTGGGATCGAGCCCCGCATCGAGCTCCTGCTCAGCGGGAAGCCTGCTTCTCCCTCTCCCACTCCCCCTGCTTGTGTTCCCTCTCTCGCTATCTCTCTCTGTCAAATAAATAAATAAAATCTTTAAAAATAAAATAAAATTAAAAATGCCAAGGATTGCTGGCAACCACCAGAAGCTAGGAAGGGCCAAGGAAAGATCCTCCCCTAAAACCTTCAGAGAGACCATGGCTCTGCCAACAGCTTCATTTCAGACTTCTAGCGTCCAGAAATGGGAGACAATTTCTGTTGCTTTGAGCCACCTAGTTGGCGGTACTTTGTGACAGCAGCCCTAGCAAATAATACACTGGCATATCACAGGCTTCTGGACAGGACCTGGCACAGAGCGGGAGCTCAGGAAATGAAATGCGTGGGAAGGAACATCTGGACTTTTTTTCTTTTTTTAAAGATTTATTTATTTATTTTGAGAGAGCGAGAATGAGAGAGAGAGAGAGTACATGAGTGGGGGAGGGTCAGAGGGAGAAGCAGGCTCCTCGCTGAGCAGGGAGCCCGATGCGGGACTCGATCCCGGGACTCCGGGATCATGACCTGAGCCGAAGGCAGTCGCTTAACCGACTGAGCCACCCAGGCGCCCCAACATCTGGACTTTTTAATTCCCTACAACTGACCTCTCTGTGGCCTCAGGCACCTGTTGATAACCACCCTCCCCAGACATACGCACTTCCTGATACTCTCGCCTCCCGTTTTCCACATCGCCAGGTTCCAATTATTTTGTCTGCTTTTTAAATGTCAATGTTCCCCAGGATTATATCTTCAGTCCTCTCTCTTCTTGCTCCACATTCCATGCAATGTTAGCCCTTCCCAGGTTTCAATTCCTTACCTCAACCAAGGACTCCCAAATCTCAAACAGATCCAACCATGTCACTCCCCTGCCTAAAAGAGAGAGATGGCGCTTGCCGGCAGGTACGGTCCAAACTTGCCTACTTCAGCATTTTACTCTGTCCCCACCTCAGGATGCACAAACCCCTTCCTGTGAAGTCACCTGGGCTACAGTCACCAAGGACCATTCCGAGTTCCCAAGCACACCGTAAGTGCTCCTTTCAATGCTTCCATATTCCCTCCACCGGGATGCTCCTCAGCCCCCTCATCTCCTTGGTGAAATCCTAGTTCGAGGCCAAACACAAATGCCATCATCTTTTGGTGCCTTTCCTGAGCATCTTTCAGGAGAATGACCCGCTCCCATCCGTTTTCCCATAGCTTTTGGCTCACAGCTTTAGGCATTTTATCCTATCACAACAGGTGGCCCGTTCCCCCACTGAGCTGTGGGCTCTGCAATGGGAAGGGCAGTACCTTATTCATCTCCACAGAGCCAGTCCCCAGCTTGGTGCCTGGCACATGGCACACTCCAAGACATCACAGGTTGAATGAACTCATTCTACTTGCAAAAAAACCAAATTACAGCTATCAAATAGCACATTAGCACATCTCAGCAGCATTTCAACAAAGCACAGCAAAGGTACTGCTGCATTAACAGAAGTTAGAGAGTGAACACAAATGTCAAAGTGTTGGGCCCATAAGAACAACCTGTTTAGCACTAGATGGGGTACCCACATTCCTCAGAACCAGACCGAAACACAAGAAGGAAAGCCTAGCATCAACCTCTTACCTCCGAAGATACATGGTCTCCTCGTCTTCCGTGTTACAAAACTTGTGGGCGTGTTTGGCAGCATCAATCACACGGGACCGATCCCGGGGCCTCATGGGCAATTTCTCTAACTGACAGTCTGAAGAAATGGAGTAAGATTCGGTCACCAGAGCCACTGAAAGATACCCTGGGGCAATCACAAGTGTTCAGTGGGGCCCTTAGCACTATAATGTTTTACTATAATTACTAAGGCTTATGGAAGCCTATTATTGAATTTCCCAACTGAAAATGACGTGGTGTCAGAAGATCTGGAGCTCTGTTACCATCGTGGCGATCTTTGGCAAGTTACTTCCTTTTGTTTTTTTTTTCTTTCCTTATTTGAAGGATAAGTAGATGACAATATTTCAAAAGTCCCTCCCAGCATGGCAAGTTTGCTGTGTTTCTGTGATCACAGTACACTTGGTTTGAGTTCTAATGCATGAGAATCAGATGAGACAATCAAGCGTCCTGAAACGCCTATGAGGAGGGCATTGGGAAAAGTGGTTAAGCGCTTAGAAAAAGAGAGAGAGGGTCGGTGCTATGCTACATGTGGCGAGGAGTGTCAGTCTGAAAACAATGAAAACATACAGGAAATAAATGAGGTGCAGTTAAAAAGCAGACGGAAATTGATATAATGCAAATGAAGTACCTAAAGGGTCACAGAGAAGTCAAGTGATCACAGTGATTTGAGATTAATGGAGGAAGGGGCGGGGGAGTTAGCACCAGGCAGTCTGCATGTTCATTAATCTTCACAATGACCTGCTGGAGTAGACATTTTGTATTCCTAGTTTAGAAATGAGGGAACTGAGGCTTACAAAAGGCAAGAGACTTGCCACACATTTACTAAGAGGGAGAACAAGAATTCAGACTCAACTCTAGGTGATTAAGAGCGAACTCATTTATACAACAAAGATTCGAGGGCTCTCTACGTACCAGGCGCAGTTCAAACACAGTGCTGGGGATTCAGCAAAGGACAAAGCAGAGTCCCTGCCCTGATGAAGTTTACATTCTAGTGGAAGAGGCAGAAAATTTAAAAATAAGAATTATATAACATGACCTTGGATAATGATAAGTGCTAATAAAAAAAATTAGCAGGATATTAAGAGGATGGACAGTGATCTCAGATAGTGACAAGGGCTACCAAGAAAAATCAGGCAGGGTAAGAGGACAAAGTGTAATAAGGGTGCCATTTTAGATAGTCAGGGAAGAGTTTTCTAAGGAAGGGATATTTCAGCAGAGACCTGGATGAAATAAGAAAGCACCAAGGTTAGAGGGTTTGAGGCAGGAAAAAACAGCAACCCCAAAGACCCTGGGGGCAAAACATTTTGACATGATGAAGAAAAATCAAGAAGGCTACTGCAGCTGGAGCGCAGTGAGCCAAGGGAAGAGTGTTAGGAGACGAAGTCCAAGAGGTAACTGAGGATCTGAACATGCAGGGTCTAGGTACGGACTTTGGTTTTACTCTCAGTTTTACAGGAAAACACCAGTTTGGAACAGGACTCTGGTTGCTGTGCAGAAAACAGACCACTGGAGACAAGGAGTGGAGAGTAAGAGGCTGTGGCAATTCCAGGTGAGGGATGATGGTGGCTTGGACTAGAGCGGCAGAAATGGAAGTGGTAAGAAGTAGTCAGATTCTGGAAAGATTTTTAAGTACTGGCAGGATATGTTGATGGGCTGGATGGGTGTAAGGTAAGGGAAAGAAAAGTCAAGCCTGATTCTGAGATTCTGGGTGACTAGTGCTACCACTGACTCTGCACTAGGGTGGAACAGTGGCGAGCAGGAAGTACGGGATCATGAAGTCGATTTGAACACGACTGTTTTTGAGAGACCCATCAGACATCCAAGTGGAGACAGGGAATAAGCAGCTGGAGTGTGAAGGGAAATGTAGGTTAAAGATGAACATTTGGGAGGCATCAGCATGCAAATGGTATCTAAAGCTTGGGAATGGCTGTGGTCACTTAGGGAGCGAGTACAAATTGAGAATAGGTGAGAGGACTGAGCCCTAGGGGCTTGCAGTGCCTAAAAATAGGAGTCAGAGAAGGAGCTAGACACTGAGGAGGGGCAAAATCAAGGTAGGAGGAAAATCGGGACATTGTGGAGTCTTGGAAGCAAATGAAAAAAAAAAAAACTGTTTTAAGAAGGATGGAATCATCATCTCTGTCAAATGACACAGATGAGGACTAAAATGAGCATTGATAATCGACCACGGGGACTACTAACAGGTTCAGTTATTGACCTTGACGGTGAGGTGGGAAGAGAAGTCTGCCCCAAGTGAGGTCAACAGGCAATGTGAAGTGAGGATGCAGCGACAGGCAATATAAGCAACTCTTTTTAGAAGTTCTGCTAAAAAGGAAGCAAAGAAATGGGGTTACAGCTGAAAGAGAACGTAGGATCAAGGGAACTAGTTTTATTCTCGTTTAAGAGCTATGACAGCATCCTAGTACGCAGCAAAAAGGTTACAAAGTTTCTAGAGGCGGAGTGGGAGGAAAGGGAGATAAACAGTCTATTTTTTCTGAAGGAGGAATTTAGTTTTGAGGGAAGCCTGGATACACTCAAGGTTAAACAGAAAAGCTGCCCTGGAGTGGGGCAGGGAAGCATCAGCATGGAGCAGGAAAGCCCACCAATCTTCCAAGAGACGCGCCTCCCAGATCACAGCCAGAGAAAATCTGCCCTCGAGAACCCGAAGTTTCGCTTCTCGCAGACGCCCTCCGGTTCCCGAAGATCACATCCAGAGAATATCCGCCCTCGAGAACCCGAAGTTTCGCCTCTTGCAGACGCCCTCCGGTTCCCGACTACTTACCCAGCACCAGGACCATCTGGCCACACAAACAGTAGTAGACGTGGAGGGGCTTCTCGCCGTCGTCATACTCCTCCCGATCCCGGGTGTCGGAGCAGACTACCGACCGGGACACTACTTTCGGCATCGTTCGCAGGAGCAGCCCGAAAACGCTCTGCCAAAACTGAGGGTCGCGCAGAAATGACGTCACAGACGGGCGTCGAGCCTTTTCCCAGCCGCAACGCTGGTCACGTGTCAGTAGCGTTCCTGTGGACTTCCGGGCCGGTCCATTAGGCCCGGATGCGCGGGGGCGTCCTGAGCCTTCAGAACTTCGTTTGCCTCGGCCTGAGTTAGGTGCAACTGCTGTACTTGGGACACTCTTAATACTATTTAAATTATTCATGTATATTTCTGTACACGTATGTATATGCAGATACAATAAAACCAGATATAACAAAGAACTGTATTTACACGTTATAGGCATAATACAGGTTTTAGGTGTGCCTCTAAAGAGGATTCTGATTTTAATGGCTGTATTCAGGATGAGTACCTAATGAAGTAGAGGTATCTTTTTTAACTTGAGATATAATTCATATGACATAAAATTCACCCTTAAAAAGTGTATTATGTGGTGGTTTTTAGTATATTCACAAAGTTGTGCAACCAGCACCACTATCTAATTCCAGAACATTTTCATCGTCCCATATAATTAGCAGTCACTCCCCACTTCTTCCCAGCACCTGGCAACCACGAAGCTACTTTCTGTTCCCTAGGGATTTGCCTCTTCTGGACATTTCATATGAAAGGAAGTAAACAGCGTGTGGCTGTTGGTGTCTGGCTTCTCCACGTAATGTTTTCAAGGTTCATCCATGTTTTAGCATGAACGGGTAAAAATAGGAATGAATCCGTAAAAAGGAACTTCATTCTTTTTCATGGCTGAATATCCTGTTTATGGCTATCCCACATTCTGTTTATTCATGAGTTAGTGGACATTTGGGTTTTTCCCACTTTTTGGATATAATGATTAATGCTACTGTGAACATCGGTGTACAAGTTTTTGTGAGAACATATGTTTTTAGTTCTCTTCGTTGTATACTTAGGAGTGGAATTGTTGGGTTATATGGTGACTTTATGTTTCACCTTTTGAGGAACTGCCAAGAGTGTTTTCCAAAGCAATTTTACCATTTTACATCCCCATCAGACTATATATGGAGGAGGGGGTCTGATTCCTTCAAATCCTCACCAATAATTATTTTTGTCTGTCTTTTTGATCATAACCATCTCGGTGGGTGTGAAGTGATATCTCACTGTGGTTTTGATTTTCCTTTCCCTGGTGGTTAATGTTGAGCACCTTTTCACGTGCTGACTGGTTATTTATGTATCTTCTTTGGAAGATACTGAAACAACATACTGAAACTCTGCCAGGACCCTCTTTGTGGAGGACAAGAGCCTGGAGCAATCCAGAATAAGGACACTGAGACAGTTTACATTGGCTAACTTCAAAAATCCAAATGAAGACACCAAAATAGTGGATTTTTAACAGAGAACTTAGTGAAGGCCGTAGGAGCTTGTGTCTAGAAATTGACAGTTTGGCTGCAGGAAGAGTAGTGTTCAAGACACACAGGATGTAAACCAAGGGGAATTTAAAGTCATCTGCTAGACCTCAAATGAACATGAATTAGATAAAATATGCAAGAAATGTGGTGTATATATATACAATGGAATATGACTCAAGCATAAAAAAGGAGATCTTGTCATTTGCAACAGCATGCATGGACCTGGAGGGTATGATGCTAAGTGAAATAAGTCAGACAAAGAAAGACAAATACCATATGATTTCACTTATATGTGGAATTGAAAATACAAAACAAAGAAAAAGCAGAACAGACTTCTAAATACAGAGAACAAACAGTTGCCAGATGGAAGGGGGTGGAAGAATAGGCAAAATGGGTGAAGGGGAGTAGGAGATACAGACTTCCAGTTACGGAATGAAGGAGTCGTGGGAATAAAAGGTACAGCATAAGGAATATAGTCAATGGCATTGTGTTAGTATTTCATGATAAAGGATGGGAGCTACACTTGTGGTGAGCATAGCATAATGTATAGAGTGGTTGAATCACTATGTTGTACGCTTGAAACTAATGTAATATCGTGTGTCAAATATAATCAGATTTTAAAAAATCAATTCAAATCTTAAGGAATCACAGTGTTCCTTAGATCTTACTCAAATGTCATCTCTATGATTTCATGTTATTCAGTATTTATTGATCTTCTACTGTGTAATAGGCACCGCACTATATACTAGTTGTGTAATGATCAATTATAAATAATCTCACCCCCTCATGTGTCTTAGTCTGGTGCAGGGGTGAGGAAACTTTTTCTGTAAAGGGCTAGAGAGTAAATATTTTAGGCTTTGAGGGCCAAGAAGCAAAATCAAGAAAATTATGTAGACCTATATAACAAGAGAGAAAACAAATTTCCACAAGTGTTTTATTGATGAAATTCAAAATATAATAGTAATTATATTTTTGTAATATAGGTCTGCTAATGAGAAGAATAGCATTCTTTTATGGAGGGGGACAATATTTCACTTAATTAGGGTTCAAAGTGAGTGTTCTCTACCATCAGAATCATTTGCAATCTCAATACACCTTTACAGGTTTTTAAATTGCTTCATATCTGGTCAAACTGAAATTCTCAAGAACCTCATTTTTCATTTGTAATACAAGTTTACAACTTTTTTCAAGAGTCAACAAAATGAAAGCACCTGTTAATAAAAGTCTCTTTTAAAAGATTTATTTATTTATTTTTAGAGGGGTGGGAGGGGCAGAGGGAGAGGGAGAGAGAGTCTTAGGCAGGCTCTGTGTTGAGCGCGGAACCCAGCACAGGGCTTGATGTCATGACACTGATATCATGACCTGAACCGAAACTAAGAGTCAGACGCTTAACTGGCTGTGCCACCAGCACCTGTTAATAAAGGTCTTCATGAAATAAATCAGTTGCAAATACTCATCTGTTAATACTTACCTGTAATGAGATTTTACATATTTCATCTTTGAAAAATTTTTTTAACACGGCTAAGTACTGCCAAACACTGATACCAAATACCTGATTTTAATTGAGCATATTTATCTTTTAGAAGGCATTTTTGAAATTCCGTTAGATTCTTCTCTTGGTATTTGCCTTTTAGCATGTCATTGCGTACAGAATAATCACTTCCAATTAAAATTTAGGTGGAAGCTCCTGCAATGCACAGTGAAACTGATTTGTTTAAAAGATTTGATTCATTTATTTGACAGAGAGGGAGAGTGGGGGGAGCACAAGCAGGGGGAGTGGGAGTGGAAGAGAGAGAGAAGCGGGCTCCCGGTCTAGCAGGGAGCCCGATTCCGGGGCTCGATCCCAGGACCCTGGGATCATGACCTGAGCCGAAAGCAGACGCTTAACTGACTGAGCCACCCCGGCGCCCCCAGTGAAATTGATTTTTAAATATAGAAATTTCCTTTGCAATTTTTTTTTCCTTTGCATTTTGCATTAAGTTCAAAAAAACACCACTGGAATTGTAATTTGAGCCCAGAAAAGATATTCATTGCAAATTGGTGTGGGAATGCAAATCTTGATTTTTGTTTTCATTTTTGACAGCACAGGAAGAGATTAAAGTAATGACATTACTTGCAATTCAAACAATGTTAGTTGTCATTGCAATGACTTTACTGAAATGTAAGTTTCACACATAAGCAGTGTTTTGCCTTGTAATTTTAGTTTAAATGCATTAAGTAACGTTAAGTCTACAGCAAAAGTTAATTTAAAAAACCATCCAGCGTTCAACAATAGTGGTTGCAGGTGGTTCGTCTCATTCAGAAAACTTTCCATCTCAGCCCCAAGCTCAAAAAAAAATTTTTTTAACTCAGAAAAACTTTGCCACTGCTAAGCTATTGAACTGCTGTTGGTTGGGCAAGTCAAAATCTTCGGCTTCTACTTCTGACAAAAATTTATGTAACTGACAGCGGTTTAGTCCATGAGTAAATGAAGTGTTGACACTAATAGTTGAAATACACAAGATAGACTCAAATATGTTCCTGCAAAATACCTGCAGATTAATAATACAATGAATAACCAGAGGATTTAAACAACTCACATTCTCACAAGCTTTTTACAATTGTCCAACTAAGCTTTGTTCTGCTCCATACGTATTTGTAACACATCTTAGCAGAGTCTACTTCAGGTTGTACTGAATTAGTATTTTCTTGACTTCTTTGAGAATTTTCTCATCTGGGGCACCTGGGTGGTTCGGTCCATTGAGCGTCTGCCTTCGGCTCAGGTCATGATCCCAGAATCCTAGGATCGAGTCCTACCTCAGGCTCCCTGGTCAGTGGGGAGTCAGTTTCTCCCCCTACTCATGTGCTCTCTCTCAATTTCACTCTCTCTCTTTCTCTCCCCTCTCAAATAAATAAATAAGGGTTAGGGTTAGAAGATTTTATTTATGTATTTGAGAAGGGGAGAGAAAGAGAGAGAGCATGAGCGGGAGGAGGTGCAGAGGGAGAGGAAGAAGCAGACTTCCCACTGAGCAGGGAGCCAGACATGGAGCTCGATCCCAGGACGCTGAGATCATGACCTGAGCCTAAGACAGACACTTAACGGACTGAGCCACCCAGGCGCCCCAAATAAATAAAATCTTTAAAAAAAAAAAAAGAAAATATTCTCATCTGAGTTATTCCACACAGGCCAACTCAGCATTGGCTCTTTGAGTAAAGTACAACAACTGAGCAGTATTGGTAACATCTGTCACCTCATTGAGAGCCGAGGAAAATCACTTGAAATCATTTTCCCTGTTTTTTTTTTTTTTTTTTAAAGATTATTTATTTATTTGAGAAGGGAGGGAGGGGCAGAGAGAAACTTAAGCAGACTCCGCGCTGAGCACAGAGCCAGACGCGGCCTCGATCTCACCATCCTGAGATCAGGGCCTGAGCTGAAACCGAGAGTCAGTCAGCTCAACCGACTCTGCCACCCAGGTGCCCCTGCCCTGTTTTTTTAATGACTGTTGGTGTCGCTTCCAACGTCCTCAACTCTTTGAGCCACTATTCTCTCTGAAAGGCTAATAGTCTTTGGAAAGTTTATTTTCCCTGGACACCTTTCTTTGGCTTCGGCAATCAAACACGATT